GTGATCTCATAGATCCACATTTGCCTATGTTGTAGTACTAGCTGAATAGTTGGCACCTTGGCAATGATCGTGACATTTGACAGGGCATTGGCCACCTCTGCCATTCCTGCAATTAATCTTGTTCCGTCCGATTATTTACATTCTATGTTTACAAACTCAGCATTTGGTGTAGTTTTTATTCAATTGTTTTTCATAATTCATGATTTCCGTTCTTTATAATTGACTTGGTATGTGTGTGTGTAATTCACTTTGGATGAGTGCATCTAAAAATAAAGCGGTCATTTCGATGACCTTTTAAAATGCTCTGTAACTAAGAACAGCTGTTTCTTAGATAGTAGACTTATTTAGAAATTCTATTATCAACATTTATCAACCATAAAAAGCTATGAACTGTTCTCAAGATTGAACTACAGTATATGTTTCAAAAGCGAGTGAAGCGAATATGTCGACCCTTCACGGCAAGTGTTTTTATTCTGAAAAATACCTGTAAAGTATTAAACTTTTAAACTGTCGATAAAAAATCAAATACAAATAAAAATTGCTGCTGCCAAATATGTGTTGTTAAGACAATATTATCATATGGAGAGATGGATAATTTTCTAATCTTTATAGTTCACATTTCCATATAAAAAATGATAAATTTAAATCAATGTAAAAAAGTGCCACACGTACAGTATTGTTTAAAATAAAGTAAATAAATAAATAAAAAGGCCTTTATCGAGTTTCAATTAACCGCAATTTGGATTTTTACAAGACAAGTTTCTTCAAACTAGAAATAATAAGAATAAAATTTTACCAGTTAACAAAGTAAACAAGTTTTTTTATATTTCTGAACGAAAATTCTACAAATTTGAAAATACACCTTTGAAATTTACTCCTGCCCTAGTAATTTCCGTAGCCAAACCGTTACCAACAGCTGGTAAGATGGGCAGTAGAACAAACAAGAAACCTTCGTTGAAACGGAAAGAGAAATTTGACTTTATAGAGTTGTTCTCCGTGTTTAATGGGATGTCAACGTTTTGGCACTAGACAGAGTGCGAAAGAAAGTAAGAATCAGCAAGCCAAGCCTGGTCTCCACAGATGCGAGGGTTAAAAACACAATCACATGTGTTTGAAACTTCTTGCCAAACACTCTGAGAGTCATCCATCAATATTGATTGTGGGACAAAACTGTCAGTTAACTTGGACAGAGTTGGGAAGTGATATTTCTTTGAACTAAAAAATATATATAAATATGAACCCCCACCACAGCAAACCTGCAGACTAAGCAAATTCAATTAATACTGCTGTGTGTGGTTTAGCATCTACCTGGCTAGAATTGAACTAAATTATTCTCATAAAATTGTCAGATTTATTTACTATTTAAATATCAATAATTTAAATGAGTAATCGGGTTTACCGCTACTGGAAAGACAATAAGGTGTGATTTATTGAACTATTGATAGCTAAGTATAAAGTAAAAAATTCCAAATTTCATTAAAATATGTCATAGACAAGCACGCTACGATAGTAAATTATTCTCCCTGAGAACAATGTGGTAGTTTAAATTTACACTTTTTTTGAATTTTTTCCATAACCGTTATAATCCACTTGCTAGGGGGGTTCCCGTGTGCATTTTATGTATAGAAAAACACCCTAAGGGATCATGTAGGTACTATGTGGGTTATCATTTTTCACGTGGGTGCCAGCTTGGCAGAGTGGGCATAACCTCAGAATCCGCCATTTTAAAAATGGCGGCGGCATTTATTACATGAAACTCATCTGGAGCTTATATCTCGAAAACGGTAATATATAGCGAGTTACTTTTATTACAATAAATGTTGCTTACACAATGAGGAACAACTTTTGTATTTACAAAAATGCCCTAAATATAACTATTTAGGAGTAGTTGAGCAATTTATGTTAATTTGACCTCTACATTTTTACTCTGTTTGATAAAAAAATTCTAATATCTTTAAAAAACTGTTCCTTTTTTAATTTTTCACATTATCATTTTCACTTATTGCTCTTTATATTTAAGGTCAAAATACTTCCACCGAAGCAAACCTGCAGACTAAGCAAACACTTACCTGGCTGCATTTCTACTAAAATATTAAAATTGTCATATTTATAGTATTAAACCTATTCATTTTATCTCTGTTGCCAAAAAAATCTAATAATTATAAAAAATCTGTTATTTTGTAATTTGGCACATAGCACTTCGCATTTAAGGTAAAAAACCTGCAAAAAGCATTCGAGAAGCTTCTGGCAGATATATAAGTTATTAAAATAATATAAAATATTTTTAAATTAATTTTTTATTATTAAATGACGCATACAAATATAAAAATAAAAATAAACCTTTCTATATAATTAATTTTTATTATTACAAATAATAATAAATCTACGAATGTAATAGAAATTATTATTATAATTCATAGCATTTATTATTAAAACGGCGATGGAGCGGGAACGGGACCGGCGGCAAAGTTGGTGCATCGGCCAAGCATTGACAACTCGTTAACACAACCAGTACCTTGACATTGTCTTTGGTGGTAGGCTGCTTCGGACTGATTGTATTGATATTGAACTAGTTTCGTGGATCATACAATTTAAGCGCAGTTATTGGATCTAAATTATAAGCCTTTTGGGTTGAAAGGAATTAGATCTGTTCCCTTTTATAGTCATCAGAAAAATGAAACTGTTCACAATATACTTGTGAGCATTGCGGCAAAGAGTAACCACCATCACTGTGTCCAAAACTCAAAGGATCGAGTTGAAAAACGTGTTCTTCCATGCAATGGATTTGGATGTATGTACAATAAAAAGCACGTAAGATATGCTGTCTAGTAGCTCTACTAGACAGAATTCTTCACGAGCAAAGGATGCAGTTCTTTAAGAGTATTCGTTGTACAGTGACAGTGTACGTATATCCAGTGTCTTAGATCATTCATAGTTTCACACTGAGTATCCTTTTTTTAATGTGAACTAGATACTTCACTGTGTTTTTCAAACTTTATTCTATCTCTTCCTCCCCATCTTTTCCAAAGTCCATTAGCAAAGTATTTGGATTACATTTTAGGGTAGCACGCTTTGTTCCAAATTTGCTGGCAAAGTCACAGCCCGTTAAAATATGGAGTGCTGGGAGAACTGAGCAAAGGTTACTTCCAAGCCTGTTTCCTATAATGTGAACTAGTACATATCATGAAGTTCTGGCTGTACCAAGTTGCATCCACAATTCCTGCAAACCTTCCGAAGAGAATCCATTCATAAAGTGTAAAGCCAAATCTATGACATCTATTCTGTATCCGAAGACAGAACTACGACTTAATTTGATAACTCGAGCAAAAATGATCAAATCTTAATGAAATTTATCACAAACGTGTAAACCTACGTTTTCAGACGAATTTGGACTACTAAACCAGCACTATCGGACTATGGGAACGGGGGTTTATGGGGAGTTTTATGGGGTAAAAATGGATTTTTCCGATTTTCGACCCTAAAAACACAAAATTTTATAATGAACGAAACCATTTTGTAGAGCTCAAAAAAGAAATAACTTTGTATATTGAAGCGCTGTATGCCCAAAAGTTACGGAGATAAAAAAAAGTTAAATTTAAAATTCCCATGTTATTCTTATGGAGAACAAATAAACTGTTTTTAGTTTGCTTGTTTATGGATGTATTATAGTCAATTTCAAAATGTTGTTTCATTCATACTAAGCTATCAACATTTCAATAAAAATATATAAAAAACACCTCAATACTTTCCCGGAAGCAGCAAACTAGTAAAGTACTCATTACAAATCAATGTCATTTAAATAGGAAATCAATCTGTCAATATTAATATTTTAGTAGAAATGCAGCCAGGTAAGTGTTTGCTGATTCTGCAGGTTTGCTGCGACGGGGGTATTTAGACCTTAGATGTAAAGAGCAATTAGTGCTATGTGCCAAATTTAAAAAAAAACTGTTTTTTAAAGATATTGGAATTTTTTTATCAAACAGAGTAAAAATGTATAGGTCAAATTAACATAAATTGCTCAACTACTCCTAAATAGTTATATTTAGGGCATTTTTGTAAATACAAAAGTTGTTCCTTATTGTGTAAGCAACATTTATTGTAGTAAAATTAACTCGCTATATATTACCGTTTTCGAGATATAAGCTCCAGATGAGTTTCATGTAATAAATGCCGCCACCATTTTTAAAATGGCGGATTCTGAGGTTATGCCCACTCTGCCAAGCTGGCACCCACGTGAAAAATGATAACCCACATAGTACCTACACGATCTCTTAGGGTGTTTTTCTATACATAAAATGCACACGGGAACCCCCCTAGCAAGTGGATTATTAGGCATACAACAACGCTTCAATATACTAAATTATTTGTTTTTATGAGCTCTAAAAAATGGTTTGGAAATAAATTGCAAAATTTTGTTTTTATGTTGAAAATGGGATAAACAAGATGAATCGATGAACTACCTGCTGTATTCTTTGGATTTGTATTATATCATTTAGTGGAAAGAGTTCTTGAAAACAGTAAGGCTTCTCGTGCTAAACAGTGAGTCACCTAACCTTTCTGATTCCTAGATTTTTATTTCCTTTTTTTATTTACCTTCACATCCTAGGACGCTAGGTTCTAGCCCGGAACTGTTTTACACATTACTTCAGGCTAGTCCTAAAGGGCCGTGGCATTATCACTTAGCTAAAATCCATTGGTGATTGGCAGGATTTGAACCCGGGACCTCAGGGACCGCAGTCTCCCGCTCCACTAGACCAGCTTGCTTCCTTCTGTTTCCTAGATAGGCGGGGACCTACCCACACTTTAAAGGAGTATGGTGATTCGAAGTGCATAGCTTTATGTCAGGACTTTAAGACACATCTATCATTCCCCCCCCCATATCCCTTTCTATCATTAAATGAGGTGCATCTAGAAATAAAATAAATCTTAATAAACTAATTTAAGATGTGTGTATCAGCAAACAAAAAGAATAAAATGAATGACACAACATTCTGTTACAGAACATAAGGGACCAAATTACTGCAGCTAGCATTGCAGGGATTCTTCATGAGTGTATTTCTCCTAAATCAGGTAAGATTGTGTTCAACTTGTTCTAATCTCTTTTATGTAAAACTCTTGAATTGAAATGTCTGGAAAAAGATGTAGTATACTGAGAAATAAATATACTTATGTTTTGTACTTGTGATAATTTTACTGCTCTGTCCGGTGAACTGAAGAGCGGTGTTTTGTTTACAATTCGTTTCTTGCTATTTTAGTAATTTATAACCTCATTTAACCAAATAAAACTATTTAATCATAAACAATAACTTGTCCACTAGCTATATAATCAAACAGTGAGGCACAAATCATGAGAAACTAACCCTAAAATAATATAAACAAATTGTAAATAAAACACGACTCTGCAGTACACTGGACAGAACTAACAATAAAATTAGTTTCAGCTGTTCCATAAGGATGGGAAATGTACTAAGGGAGTATGTTTAATTTATGGTATAAGCTTCCTAGCTTGCACGGTCTGACCACTGGGCTACTTAACATTATTTGATGAAAAAGCCGTGCATTTCTAAGTATAATGGATCAGAATTTTATGTAACAAATAATTTTCTCATGATACAGAATTGTATGTATTATTTACGAGTATTTACTGATATCCGCAGAGTGACAATCATCATCAGGACTCTTGTCTGGTTTGCAAAGACTATTCTCCTTCTAGGAAAAAAATATCAAAACATTTTGAATAACGTTCTTTATTATTCATTAAAGAATCAGTGTCATTATAGAATCTGACATTGAAGGGGAAAACCTGATTTTGTATTATATACTACATCAAATACAAAATTTATGTATCTTTTAACAGGTGGAAGCAGGGGTGCTTCCCTTAGGAGGTTGGTGGATCTAAATGCTACCAACATAATAGTCAAGATGGTCAATCAATGTTCTTCTCCGTCCCAAACTTCCTGTGTTCCAGAGCCTCTCCTTCAGGAACTTATTTTCATCCTGGGACAACTTGCCCAGAAAGGTAGATTCATCACAGATTTGAATTTTTAGGATTTGGTACTGCTTTGTGATTTTGGCGGATGATATTAATTGAACAAGTTTTTATGATTTATCTAGATAGGTAGCTGATTGGTTACAGTGCTCTCTTAGCAATCAAAGTTTGCCAGTCTGATTGATTAAATTTGATTCAATTTGATAAATTCTCCTGACTGTCGGTAACAAAACAACACAAGGCATTTTATCTTATTCTTTACTCAGCGACTCAGCACTCCTGGTTGCAGGCATGATATAGGCGATATTTATATTTACTAATGGGGCAGATCCATATACCCTCAAATCAACTTAGTTTCCTCCCCAAAAAATCTTGTGATGAAGCGAATGAAAGTTTGTTGTAGCCATGATGCCTGTTGGAATAGCTATACAGTACTTAAGTTGTTGAAGATTTGTTATTCATAATTTCTATAAAAAAAAATATTTTTCAGATAGCAAGTTCTCGCTGAAGGTTCGGCTGCTGAACAGTGTCAAAACATTCCACTACTTGTTAAGGATTCACTACCACAATCACAACAAGATGTTGGTGCCTGTCCTCATCATTGTGAAGACTCTAGCAAGAAACGGTGGGTTCTGGTTGGTACCGTTCACAATAGAATTCCCGTCATGAAATAGACATTCCATTCCAATGTCAGAGTGGAAAGGAACTTAGTTCAATTGAGCTACTACTACCTACAGAGTGACTCTTTTTGACCCGAGCCAAAGTTTCAATGAAGTAAATGAGTGAGGGTTGAAAGACATTTTTGCCTGTGTGATCAACTATATTGTTGTCATACTGCACCATTATTTAAGCAAACCAGGTTACGAAACAAAAATACTTTTCATATAAAGATAACCTCTTTAAACATCGTTCAACTTGTTTTGCTTTTTGCTTATGCAAAAAGACAGATGTTTTTTCGTCTATTACGATTGTGTTAGTGTTAGTGTACATGATACCATCAATGTGTCAAACTATTGACAATAATACAACAATAAGCTTTTAGTGATTAAACAATCGACAACAGCTGATTTTTATTCCCTAGCGAGAAAAAGAGTTACTTAAGTTTCACGATGCATGTAATACAGTATGTTACAGTATAACAAAAACACAATTATGCTCATTTTGAATAAAACACCCACTTCAATCGTTTGGAATAGGAAAAGCATTGTTTGAGACTGATTAAGTCATGCTTGGGATAGGAAAAGTAATGTTATTGACATGCAAAGTCCACTGGAATTAAAATTAAATTAATGATTTTTCCTGAATGTCTATGATGATAACTGACTATTTTCTAATACAAAGTAATGAAAAAATCTTGGTAAAATGTATTTTATAATAGTATTTTTTTTATATTTGAAATCCACACACTCGTAATAGTGCCCTATTTAACATTGCAGCAAACACCACTGCCTTGCTGGTAAAGGACGGCATTGCCACCACGATGGAGAAAGCTCTCGTCCAGATCGGGTTTTCTCCCAGCATTCGTCTACGGCTTCTGCTCAACGTGCTCAATTATCTGACAAAAAATAGTGAGTTTGCAAAGAAAATAGCGTCAGGAATTACCGTGATTAGGTATCGTACATAAAATGTTTTAGTTGCGGCCCTCTCCATCTGTTATACTCCATGAAACCTAGATTCTTACTCTTGGTAAGAAATGCTAGTCTCAAATGTTATCATTATTGAGAGTACAGTTGTTTTATTGTTTGTTTGCAGATGTATATTTAGCAAACAAGTTTCTTATTCAATGTATATTTTTTGAGAAGGGTAGTGTTTTTTGTGAGGGGTGTGTTTGATATAGGGTAGTTATTTTTAGTGAGAAAGAAAAGATGCCCAACTAACTCGCTCAGGGCCTAATTCACACAGAACAGACGTCGGGCGGAGACGTGGCAAAGACATATGTCCCTTCCTCGCCTCTCCATGTAAACAAATTGGTCAATGCAGACACAAGTGACATGGCGCGGGCGGCTGCCCTCCCGCTACCGCCACTTCGCTTCGGCGTCCCTCAAGGCGTATCGGAAGTGGCATGTCCGTAGCGCGCCCGTTGTTGGGACTGCAAATATTGTACTTACCAACCTTGTTTAGGTAATTGTGAGTTGTTTCTTGTTCTGTTCACTATGCGAGACGACATTGAATTCTATCACAGATTTTGTGAGGAAGTTGAAAAATTCCTTTGTTTGTACAATCACAGTCGTACAAACTAACTAATCGACACAGTCGACAGACATAAATAACTAACAGAAATAAGCAAAAATCAAAGCTTCTAGTCTACATACAAGTTTTCTCGCCACTGTACCGTCCCTTCTGTGTGCATTGTACACGCCACGTCTCTACCATGTCCGTGCTTCGTCTATGCCACGTCTCTGCCTGACGTCCGTTCTGTGTGAATTGGGCCTAAGAAAGTACTTGCAGACAGTTGATGCACACAACATAATTAAAATGAAGTTACACTCCAGCAAGATTGCTCCTTCAAATTATTCTGCTTATTCAACTTCACCCTTTTAAAGAAGCTCTCTGTGAGAATCGAAAATATTTAGTTGATTGTGTGTGAAAACTTTGTGTGTGCTATAAACTGCCTAGAACTATTTCCTTGTGCAAGTTAGTTCTGATTGGCTACTCATCCCATCCTTAATAAGTTTCAATTTGAATTTAATGTCAACTAATTAAAAGCACTCTGTTATTTTCTTTCTATGAGCGAGCTGGTCTAGTCGTAGAGTGTAAGATTTTGGTCCTAAAGTTCCAAGTTTAAATCCCCCCAACCATTAGTGGGTTTAGCTATGTGATAACTCTGTTGTAGCCTATAGTAATGTGTCAAACGGTTCTGAGCTAGACCCTAACATCCTATGATGTGTCAGTAGGACAAACTTATCCTTTCTTCTGTTTCTCAGACAGATTCTGCGCGTGGATGGTGCGCACTGGTCTGGTCCAGATGATGGTGAAGATGTTTGAAAGGTGGGAGAGATACGATGGCAAAATGAGAATCAAGATATGTAACTACACACTGCTTACTTTACAACATGTCTGTACTACAAGTAAGTGTTGATTGTAGAATAAGTAAAAACTTGGGTTTGGATCATTTTTACTTAGGTGTGTTTGGATTGATTACACTGAAAAATGGTGTACTAATTTCAATGCATGCAAAAAAAGATTGTTTTATAATTTTGGGTACAAAGCCACTTTATGTTGGGAACCTATAAAAAATGTACTACCCAGACGTTTGTGTACCCAAAGTTAGATTATTCTATAGTGTAGGGAATAACTGTCAAGAGATGTTTGCAGTAATTATGACTAAACAGTTTGAAATCATAACTTGTATAGGTCGGCTGCTTAGACCTGAGCACTAATGCTAACCAATGCTAGAGGAGGTTGCTTTCTAAGCGACCGAGCTATAGGAAACTTGTTATAATGTAATTTTTAATATGATGAATATTAGTAGGCCTACTGTTACTATTTTTACCCATTTCTTTGATCTTAGTGCTGAATATTTTTTTTTATAATACTATTAAATATATTTTACCTAAAATAATACTGATTTTATGTTAGCTCGTAATGTATTAAGCAGGTATAGAATACTTATAATTCAGGTAAAGCCAAAAGGTTTTTTTTATAAATATGAATACAACAATAACGTAATGAAACTGATTTATATTACCTTTGAAGTGCTTTTGAGCCAAATGATTTTTATTTTGGCATTAGGTCATAGCTAGATTATCAAATAAATTGGACTAAATTAAATAATTTGAATGCCAAAAGAAGTGAAAACAGTGATTGCTAGAAAGCCAAATATGTCAATGTTGCAATCTCTGGTTTTTTAGCTCTGACAAGTTATTGGGTACCTCATTTTAGCGTGACTTTTGGCAGTCAACTTGGTTTGGAATTGGTTCTATATTAATAATATTATTCAATAATTGTGCAAGATTAAAATATTGAGGCATATTAGTTGTTAGTGAAAAGGTGTAACACACAGAACTATCACAGGTTGGTCTTGCAGTCTTTCAGTTAAGTGGTGAGAATATCTCCTTAAGGTTTATCCCTCCTCTGTTTATGAATTGCTGTTTATGATTTCTTATCAGCATTTCCTTTTATGATGTTATCCATTTCTTTCATGGTCTTTGGACTCTTCTCTTTCCAACATTTACTCCCTCCTAAACTTGCCGTTGATGTTTTTCTTTTAACATTATAGTTTTTTTTATTACGTCTTCCATTTATTTTGAGGTCTCCAGCTCTCCTATTTACAACAATGTCTCCCTCCAGCCAGATTTTAACCACTCTTCCTCCATTCACCCTTTTACAAGCCAAAACAACCTTAATCTTACCATTCTGATTTAATTTAATATTGTTTTGTTAAGCCCAAATGTAGTTTAATATCTTTGTTTCTGATTCTGAATCATCTTATTTACTGCACAGATCTTCTCAGGAATTGGAAGGTGGAAATTCACACTTTTTGACATTCTCAAAGAACAGTTTTTTATCCCAGAAAAATTCTTAGCAGTATTTTTTGCCTCAAGTTATTTCAGCAATTCAATGGAAGAACAATGACCTTTTACAAATTATTAGATGTAGAACATCCTCCATTAGAAGCCATAAACTGAATTCTTAATATTACAGAGGCAGGTCGTAACGCGATCCGAGGCTGTAACGGACACTCGGTGCTGTACAAGTTCTGTCTGTGGTGTCCGGACGAGAAGATGTACGACGGGCTGATGACGAGGGTTTGCAGCATCGTCAGCATGTGCATGGAGCGTCGGGAACTTCCGTTAGCATCGTTACAGAGTCCAGCACAGTTTCAGCTGCCAGCCGACACTGGTACGATGCACAAAGTTGAGCTAATGTTACATGTATATATAAACTCTAAATTATCGATTGGGAGTGAAAACTCGGTTTTACGACTTTTTATGAATCTGAAGTTGTTGGGTATTTATTGAAAATTGAGGTATCAAACCTTATTATTGAAAAATATCCTACTAATATTATAAACGTGAAAGTATGGATGTTTGTGTGTAACTCTGAAGTTCCATGACGTGAAAACTGGACCGATTGAGCTGAAATATTGCAGAGAGGTACTTGATAGTCTTGAGAAACACAAAGGCATATTCAAGCTGTAAAAATCTTATAGGGCTATGCCCCACGAGGGTTCAAAATTTCCATGTTATTCTTATTAGTATTCCTATTTAATAGGAATTAAAGAAGTTTGCAAGATGTTTCTACCAAACAAGTTGGTTCTATGATATCATAGACAAATAGAATAAATATAGACTGTCAAAGGAAGGTTCCGGTGCCCACAACTAGGTTTGCCGTGTAGTTACGGCGCACACCGCTGCAGGCGAGGAGCGCAGGAGCCATATGCGACCAGCAGACGCTACAGGGGGCTGCAGTGGTGTGCGCCGTAACTATACGGCAAACCTAGCGGTGGACGCCGGAACTTATGCCAACCGCAGCACTGCTGACGGTCTATATTTATTCTATTTGTCTATGATGATATTTAATAGCATTAAAAAGTTAGTAGTTGCTGGTTAATCAGGTAGGAAATTCATCAACTTTTTGATGGTTCAACATTGGACCCCAGAGTCCTTGATCATTTGGTGTTAAGTTAATGGCTAAATAAACAGCTGATCTTAGTCAGTAACAAAGATACACAGATATTATCACTCTGTTTTACACTTACAATTGATTCATTCAGTTAAATTCTGTTACAAAGTAACACTCCTTAAAGAAGTAGTTAAGTGGAGCAATTCAAAATTAAAAGTGTTTGTGTGTAAAGCATGATACAACAATAGTGTTGTGTCACAGTGGTGTCGGACCGAGAGCTGGAGAGTGACGACAGCGGGGGAGATGAGAGCGGAGACGAGGGCAGAGATGATGATTTCGACGACAGGGACTTGAGTACTCAGAACTGTGGTCTCCCACCAACCGCCCAGCGGGACCTTGCGGACTTGAAAATGTCAGTAACAATTAAAATCTATCAATAGTAATGTACGGCAAACCAAACTCAACCCAACCCATTCCCAAATATTACCTGTCAAGATTTTGTTTATACACTCTGCACATGCTGTTTTAGTTTTGGCATTATTTATGATCCTGCGATTATTTATGAGAGTCACACTAGTGTTATAACTCTGTATCTTCACTAATTACACTGTATATCACCTTTTCCATTTGCTTTATTTGCAGATGTTGATGTTAATTTTCATTGTAACTGAGTGGTTAGTGGTTGCCGTCAAATCTGAAGGTTGCTGGTGTGATTCAAAGAAAGATGCAATTTTTCATTGGACTATCAATCAATGGTGCTTACTGAAAAAAGGTCGATGTTATCACTAAAGTGAGGTTTTCCTAGGCGCGGAACAAAGAGTCCAGAGAAGCAATTTTCCGTTTGCCCAGTGAATGTCTGCTCGGGTTCTAAGAAAACAGAACCCAAGGAGCGGACTATGCTCTCCGCTCTTTGACCTCTGGTTCCACACCTAGGAAAACTCAGCTTAACAAGACCAGGGTTACGTTTGTAAGCAATAAACTCTTTTAGTAAGCATCACTATCATCACATTGGTTGTTTTGATTGTTCAGGTATGATGAGTTCTGGTGTGAAATGGGCGCGCAAGATTCTCCCCCCAGCAGCCCTCTGGCAGCAGACCTGCCTACCACTCTGCTCTCCTCTTATGTGTTCGCATCTTCAGCACATATCTGCAGGTAAACTATCACTATTTCATTTTGCTATGTCATGTTGCCGAATAAATACAAATTTGTTATTATAATGTTATCACTATTGATATGATAAAGTTACTGTATCATTATAAAACTGATTCATGTTTCTGTATGTGGCTGGTTGTCTTATAGCTGTATCATTATATCCTCTATTTATATGGATTAAACTTGATAAAACAAAGCCTTTTTTCTGAATTTGTATCCTGAAACACTTGTAGTTTAAATAATATGAGCAGCAAAACTGTCCTAAATTGTAGTGCTTTAAATTAATTACCAACATGAAGAATTTATTATGTTTTGATAAGATACCCTTTCATAAATTTATAGCTTTCTCCTCAAATTTGGTTGAGAATGAAACCGAGACATACTCTTGAACAATTTTAATTTTGAATCTAAAGCTTAGGCGAAAGCAGGGAAATGTAATAGGAAAAAAACATACACTATAAAAGATTCTGTAAAACAGTTTCCAAAGAAGTCCTTTTCCGCCAGTTTATTTCTCACTACATACACACCACAGGCTCTTCCTCTGATTTCTTACCTTCATACATTAAGTTTATCAGAACTTTGTGTATATTTAAATAAGCTGTTGTCTTAAGACTATGTATTAAAAGTTAAACCCATAGAATGAGACAGTCACTAGTAAGCTTGTCTATTCCAACAGGTTCTCAGATTCAGACGACGTCAATCTTCTAATGTTGTCTGATGACTGTACACGTTGTCCTCAAATTAACTCTAAGGTACGTAAACTGTATTAGAATGCTATATGAAGTGTCATAAAATTAAATGTTATCTTTGACATGGTAAACCCACATCAATCTGGTCTGACATTACCTTTGGTGGGAAAATTTGATCATAATTAAGATACTTTCTTTTCTTTTGAACGTAGCAAATTCGAGTTTTAGACATTACGACAGGATTCGTAATATTTCAAGGAAAAGGGATTTTTTTGGAAAGTAGTCCTTAAAAAAACACGTAGAGGCAACCAAGGTCCCTCAATAGGACCAATAACTTTATCCAATAAGTTTATTACTTTTTCAGCATCACATCAATAAGTGGTTTATGTCTTTCAGAGTGTGACGTTGTCGGCACTAAGATTCATCAAACCGGATGCGACAGGTCGCACTGTCTACTGTCACGTTGCTTCCCGTGTGCGACCAGTGCTGCCGTTTGTGAAGGTCGCGTATCCTGACCTGGTAGCGGCTGAGAGTGTCGCGTACGACGAACCACTCAACACCAAGGACCGTAGGACTTGTCGGTTTGTCAACTCCATATATCTCTATTGTAAAGCTTGTAATACAGGCAGTTTGAAAAAAAAACTCCCTATTTTTTAAAGACAATATTAACCAGGGCTGTTACTCGTCCCGATTCTGCTGGGACAGTCCCGATTTCGGTTCCTTATGCCCGTATTTAAGTCTAGGGGTGAAGGGGGCCATTTCACAATTTTTCCCTAACCTAAGGTGGCAACTGAGATATTGACTCAAACCTCAAGAGTTTTTCCCGTTACCATTATCCTGATTTGGTGCCTCTTAGTTAGACTTGGCCATACGTTCAATTTTGTAACCCTTTTGAAACTGCTTTTACAATCAGGTTCTCTCCTCTCCTGGAGGATAGTTTGAAATAAAATTGCAAACATTTACTTTATTGAATAGATTGTGTAAATACATAGGTATCTTTTCCTATAGTCCATCTCTTTCTAAGTTCTACTTATATATCATCTGTGTTTTGTAGGGCAAAACTTTTAACGAGTGTGGAGCGGGGACTGAGACAGGAGAATGCCACCAAAGAAGTATGTTATGACTTGGATCAGCTGTTGGCAAATCCTTCCAGCAAAGTCGTCAGGTACGGTTTCAACATTAAACGTTCAATTACATAGGGAGAGTTTTCAAGTTACTAAAAAGCAACATTGTTGAAAAGTACGACATACTACTTCGGATACCTGAGATGATATTGATTGATATCGAGACTAATCCTACCTCTGCTTAAGCAATTAATTGTAATAATGTTCCAAAATGATTATCATGACAGAAAAGCAATGAAGTGATAAATGTCAGTTTGTGTTATGAAGATTGAACGTTTCATAGTGGATAGGCCTACTAATTTGTCAACTGTCTAATCTTTTATTTTTCATCAACACTTTCATTTTCTGTAAGACTACAGTGCTCACCCTCAAATATGAAGGTTGTTGGTTTGTTTGCAAAAGAGATTGATTTTGGGGCTAGATGCAATTCATCATTGGACGATAAAAACAAGACTGTTTAACTATTCCATTAGTCATAAAAAATCCTAATTATGCTTATTGTTTTGGTAAAAAAAGTAACACAAATGTTAGATATTAAGGAAATTAAAAATATCAATAAGTTTATTTAGATGTTCAGTTTGGTAAAGAAAATTGAGTTATCTAGAGATTAGATATTTTTACGAGCTGACACACCAGGGTCAGTATTCTAAGTCAAAAATGAGTGAATTAGATGACGGCTTTGTTACTGGCTAAGATATACTGGCTGGTTTTTTGTCGTTATCATTTATTGTTTCAAACACAAGTCAAAAGAAGTATTTCTTCTGTTTTTCAGAGACCTTGGAAATTCTGATGAACAACGAGTTGGTACAAAGGAGTTCAACCATTCCAGGCTTGTGTTCGAGTCTAGGTTTGAAAGTGGCAATCTCCGTAAAGCGATACAGGTGTGTGATTAATGTTTTGGGCACTTTTGAAATTATAAAATGGCCTTTCTCGCTTAAGATAGGGAGAAGCCTTTTAACCTCAAACCTGAAATTATGAAATATCCACAAATACCAGACATGGCTACAGGACTAGAGAAAATACATTTTTTTGTAGTTTAACTTTTCGTCCACTCAGTATTTAAACTTTAAAATTTACTGATAATAAAAATTAAAATATAGTCATTGTGTGATATTTCCATATTTGTGAAAATTTGTGTTTTAAATTTGTTTGAACACTTTTCGAATTTGGTCAAAGTTAAATTCTAACTATTTTTGAAGAAAAAATTGAATTGAGTCCTAGATTATTTCTTTAAGTATATTCACGTGATTCACTACTTATGTCAAATAAATATGTTTACTAAGATGACATTAACCGCAACAAGTTTGTTTCAGATTGGGCCAAGGGAGTATGATCTCATATTATCACCTGACGTAAACTCTACTGAACATTGTACCTGGTTTTATTTTGAGGTAATTTAACAACTGTTTATATTCTTTTGGTAATCTTAAGTGGGTGTTTAGCTCACCTTTTTTCAAAAATATTCCATGTCGAATTCAGGAATTCATCTGGTTAAGTTGTGTACTTGCAGGGAAGCTGAAAAGTTAAATACTATACTATCGCCCTATGATTTAATGTAATGGGTTTGCTTTTCCTTCTAGAAGTAGTTTGTGTTCAGAATAAAGGTGCCTGTATCTAGTGCTGTGTATTATGTTTGTGTTTTATCACATCCAAGCATGTCTCAATTAATGGTGGATGGAATGAACAGTAAAAATCCCTAATTTTAAAGTTTCTCCCTGCAGCTTATTCAATGTGGCAGTTATAGCGTTAATATCACTGTCACTTTTTGAGTCAGCAAAGCCAACTGTAAGCCAACGCAAGATGAGTGTAGAGTGAAGTGAGATAACCCTTGTTGCTTCATTACAGCTTGTGACATCTATGCTGGCACTTGGCCAATCGCTACTAGTACCTATTTCAAATACATTATGTCCCGTCATGCGGGTTGCATCAACTGTCCTTGCGACCCATATGGAGGCGCTCAAGTACATAATACAAGGGGAGTCAACCCCATGAGGTAGCGGAAATGTTTGCGGTCCGGTCTTTTCCCTACCTCCACCCTCCTCCCGCCTACACTACCCGCGCTAGGTCAAGTGCCAGCTTAGATGTCTTGAGCTGTACTGACTAAGAGCAGCTGTATCTAGCCAGGCCCAGCCATTGAAAGCCTAATGGTCAAGAACAGCTAAAGCCATGTAACCACCAAAAAGCTTATGACTTAAGTTCCAATTTATTTGTAATTTAAACTTATTTTTCTCCCTGACTTTTCACTGACCCCCTCCCCCCTCCTACCCACCACAGACTTCAGATTAGGTTTTATTCTATCCAAAGACAGTTTAATTTATAAGATGTGGTTTTTTGAATGGTTTATTCTACTAATCATAGTTTCTTCTGCAGGTGTCCAATATGGAGGCTGGTGCACCTTATGTGTTCAATATCATAAACTGTGAGAAGGCCAACAGTCAGTTCAACTACGGCATGAAGCCTATATTGTTCTCAGTCAAGGAAGCAATGTTAGGTAAGGAGTAGCTAGGATTTGATTTAATTTGGGTGAAAATACTGAAGAACTCGATAATCGAGAGATTTTTTTCTTTTATGTTGGCAGCCTCTTTAAATTTCACTTTTGCCTGTCCACATTGGTGTCAAAGGCAAGGAAAGTACGAGCAAAGCAAGGGGTGAACTTGTACTGTATCGGAAAAATGAACTTTATAGATAGATACTCCGAATATTGACTCAGATCCAGGACAATGTTGTTTCAGTTTCACCATCTCTCATGCTACAAACTGAGTCACTGATTCAAAAATTTACTAATAATCATGTCGATTCCTTGGGGCATTAAGAAAACAATTTGAAATGTTATTTTTGACAATTGTGTGGTACCAATTTGTAAAGTAGAGATAAGATTTTTAAGCTTTACAATCAGTTTTCTAAAATATCCGTGGTAAAATGAAACAAATATATCCCTTTACATAGCTTGAGATCCATGTTACATTTAGTACTGTGATTGTATAATCTACACCATTGTTGTGTATTATAAGTTTATATTTGAAATAAATAGTTAAATAAATGTAGGATGAAAAATGAGCCTTATTTTGTCACTAGTTTATTTATATCAATTGAATCACATTTTTGAAAATAACATATGATTAAATTATTAAATGCATAGCATTTGAAACATAGAGATACAACAGTTTCTTCCCCACTAAATTTGATTCATAAGTCCAGTCTTTTCCGTTGCTTTCTCGTTCTGGCTGATTTGCGAGGAACATCTGTTGAAGCATTGTCATCTGTTTGAGGATTATTATGTTCACTGGGTTGAAGCCTGATTTCTGCATTTTCAAGTTGATCATTGTTATCTTCTCTGCGTTGAAGCCTGATTTCTATATTTTCCAGATCATTGTCCTTTAATGTCACGTTCTGTTGTTGCGAACTGGTAATTTCTTTAGGAGATGAGCTGGAGTGTGTTTTGTCTTTTGATTCTGGCACTGATGTTCTCTTCAACTGATCGATGTGTCTCTTGCCAATGTAACCGTTGTCCAGTTTGACTTTGTAGTGCAGAGCTCCAAGTTGAAAAATAACTTTTCCGAACTTCCAGCCGTCTAAGGAACGTACTAATATTCTCTCCCCCACTTTAAATGAGCGGCTTACTTGTTGAAAACCTGGATGTAATGATGTGTTTTTCTTAGGGGGTTTGAGAGCATCTAGTTTTGTTCTGATCTTTCGATTTAAATACAGTTCAGCCGGTGATTGTCCGCATTGTAGAGGTACAGCTCGGTAGCGAAACAGTATGTCTTGAATTTGTGATTTAATATTCTTTCGAGGATCTTCAGCACAATTTTTCAAAGATGTCTTTAACGTTTGCACATAGCGTTCCGCTAACCCATTGGTTGCTGGGTGTCCTGGGGCGATAAATTTTTGAAATATGCCTCTTTGTCGGCAAAAGTCTGTAAATTCTTGGCTAGTAAAAATAGTGGCATTATCAGAAACTAGTACAGCAGGATATCCATGTGTAGAGAAGATATCATTTAGAAATTCTATTGTCGTAGCTGTGGATGGTGCGTTTTTGGTTATTCGAACCTCAGGCCATTTAGATTTTGCATCAATCACTACTAGGAAATGGTGTCCATTAAATGGTCCTGCGTAGTCCATGTGAACTCTTTCAAAGTTTTCCTTAGGGATTTCCCAAGGGTGAAAAACTTTTGTTGGCTGTTTTGACTGTAAAGCGCAAGCTGCACATGATCGAACTTTATTTTCAATGTCTTTGTCAATTCCGGGCCAATAACAGTGGAGTCTTGCGAGTCGCTTCATTATTACCATTCCTATGTGTGTTCCATGAAGCTCTTCTAAAACATGAGAGCGTAGTGATCTTGGAATGTATACACGTTCTCCTCTGAATACAATTCCTTGATTGGTTGAGTAGATTGGATCATTTGCACCTTCTTTTATTTGTTTCATAAGATCTTTCATTCCTGGATCGTACGCAGTTTCTTTTGAAATTGAATCACTCGTGATGTTGATTTGATGAGATTTGAAGGATTGAATTCTGTTCTATTTCATCTTCTTCTTTATTCAGTGCTGTGTCGATACCACGATGTTCCGTTGTTTGAAAAGTCCTGGATAGAAAGTCTACATTTTGGTGTTGTTCTGCTTTCCGATGTTTGATGTTGTATTCAAATCCTCTGAGGAAAACTGCATAGCGTAAAAGTCGACCAGCTGTCATTGGAGGAACATTCTTTGGGTGAAATATTCGTGTGAGTGGTTGGTTATCTGTGATCAATTCAAACTTTCTTCCATAGAGGTAGTTGAAAAATTTTCCAATAGAAAATACAATAGCGAGTGCTTCGCGATCAAGTTGGCTGTATTGGGACTCTGATGTTGAAAGTGAGCGGGAGACAAATGCAATGGGCCTTTCTTCTCCATTGATAATGTGTGATAGTACTCCTGAGATCCCATGTGGGCTTGCATCGCAGGCTACGGATACTGGAAGGTCCGGGTCAAAAGGAACTACCACTCTATCTGAGGCTATTTCCTCCTTGATGTTGATGAACGCTTTCTCACAATCTTTTGTCCAGTTGAATGGTTTATTCTTGATGAGTAACTGACGTAGAGGGTAAGTTATGGTAGAAGCTGCTGGAATGAATTTTGAATAATAAGTTACAAGTCCTAGAAACTTTCTCACTTCCTCTACTGAATTTGGTCTTTGAATATTGAGGATATTTGACACTTTTGCTGGAGACTTGGATATCTTGTTGTTTTCAATAACATATCCTAAGTATGTGATGCTTTCTTGGAAGAATGTGCATTTATTTCTGTTGAGGTGAAGATTGTTGGTTTGCAGTCGCTCCAGACAAGCTACAAGGTTGTTGAAACATTCATCCAAAGTTGAACCGTAGACAATTATGTCGTCAAAGTAAGAGCTGACACCTGGAAGGTCTTGTAGAACTTGTTCCATTACTTTTTGAAATATGCTGGGTGCAGTCTTGATTCCAAAAGACAATCTGTTGACTTTGTAAGTACCTTTATGGGTTGATATTGTTTGAACACAAGCACTTTCTTCATCGACACCTATATGTAGGTAAGCTTTAAAGAGGTCGAGAGTACAGAAAAACTTGGCGTTTCTCAGTTTGTGGAGTGTTTCGTCGATCCTAGGAATCGGATAGTGTGAATCGTATAGTTGAGGGTTGACTGTGACTTTATAGTCTGCGCATAGCCTAAGTGTACCATCAGGCTTAGGCACTACAACTAAGGGTGAACCCCAGTCGCATGATTCGATTTTAGTGATGATTTTGTCTTGTTCGAGTTTGTCAAGATCATGTCCCACTCTATCCCGGAGTGCATACAGTAAAGGTCTAGGTTTGAAAAATACTGGTTTGGATTGAGGTCTTAACTTTAGAGAGCAGGTGACATTAGGAATATGTCCTATTTCTGGTGAAAATATTTCTGGAAATTTTGATTCTACTGCAGTAACTAGTTTGTCTGTGTCACTGGAAACTAAGTTTACATAAGTACCGGTATCTTTTGGTCTCTGGGTGTCAAGATCGTTTAAGTGGACTCCAAGTTGTCTTATCCAAGTCCTACCTAGTAGAGGGCTGTACATGTCAGGAACTACAAACAACTGCTGTGTAGATGAGCGTCCATTGTATTCAACCTGAACATTAACTAAGCCTAAGGGTTGGAAAACCTCATTTGTGTAAGAACGAAACCTTATATTTGTACTCTGGATTGTGTTTTGAGGAAGATTAAGTCTATCAAATTGAGCCTTTGGTAGAAGGGTATGAGCTGCACCTGAATCTACCTCAAACTTTTGTGGTTTCCCATTGATTAGAATAGTTGTGAAAAATTTGTCTGTGTCTGATGAATTGTAGTCAGTTACATTGAGAATTTGAAGTTGCCCTATTCCATAAAGTGAGTTTAAGTCCTGTGAATCATTTGGAGTAGTACTTATTGTATTAACTGTAGGCCTGGATTTCTTAGAGAGTAGAGTTGATATACAGACCTTGGCTATGTGTCCATCCTTGTCACAGCTTTGGCAGTGAAGGCGTGATATGTTGGTTTTACATTCCCTGGACATGTGATTTGCTTTACCACATCTTAAACACAGGTTTCCAATTCCAAGTGTTGCCAAATCAACCTTATTTCGTCTTGTGGAAGGGTGATTTAGTCTGTTGTTAGATCTGTTGTTGAGGTAGGCTGTCCTTCTTGGTGTATAATTCTGGTGTGTTGGTCTTGTCAATAATTTGTTGACTTCTGCCTGTGACGATGTTTGAGGACTAGAAAAGTTGTTCAGAGTTGCACTGTCTATTTTTGAAGCTTCAATTGCTATTGCCTTTTCTACGGCAATGTCAAATGTTAAGTCCTTGGTCTGGATTAATTGTTCTCTAATTGAAGAGTCATGAATTCCCCTGATAAACTGTGATCTTAAGAATAAGTCAGATACAGATGCTTCACATGATGTACAGGTAAGTTTGCAAGCTGCAATTTGTTTCCTAAGAGCTGTTACATAGTCTGTAATTGATTCATTTTGTGTCTGGATTCTGGATAAAAACTTATGTTGTTCTACAATTTCATTGGTTTTTGGAAAGTAATTGTCTAATAATTTTGTAATTTCATCATAGGTTTGCTCATTAATACTTTTTGGAGCTGAGAGTGAAGATAAAAGGTCATATGTTTTAGAACCTACACTATTGAGAAAAAGCTGGGCACAAATAGTTTTATCATCAAAAGCATTCTTTATCTTTAGGTAATTTTCAAATCTTTCTTTGTATAGTTGAAAAGTTTCTTTGTTTGAGTCAAATTGTTCAAAATTGGAAATTAATGTGATGTTGGATTGTTGAGTCTTTGACATACCTTGAATAGCTGAAGACAAGGTCTTGATTAATATTTCAAACTGTTCTTGGTTCATTTTGAAAAAAATATATAAAATAAACTTTAAAACAAATAGAACACACGTTAGGCTCTCCTCGTCGCCATTTCTGTTGTGTATTGTAAGTTTATATTTGAAATAAATAGTTAAATAAATGTAGGATGAAAAATGAGCCTTATTTTGTCACTAGTTTATTTATATCAATTGAATCACATTTTTGAAAATAACATATGATTAAATTATTAAATGCATAGCATTTGAAACATAGAGATACAACAACCATAAAATTCTTGATTCTGTTATTGTATTTGCAAAAATATTGCTGTAACCTTCTAAACAAGAAAAAAAATAAAAATGAAATTATTGAGTACACCAATTTGCAACGGTTTATTCTCATATTTACAGCTTGAAGAAACCAAGCTAATCTAAAAGTAGAAGATAGGCTTCTTCGGTGAAAGTATCAAATGTTACTCTTCAGGAGATGACTCATCGTTGATCTGTTGAAAATTTTGGATGCGGTGCTACGATCCATTCTTTGAGCAATCAAGGATATATATGACTCCAATTTTCTCAATATGTATTTCTTGTCAGGCCGAGGTGGCTGGATGCGGACTGGCTCGGACATCTGTTACTTCCGCAACGCATTCCCCTGCGGCGGCAAGAAACGGACCTATCTCTCGCTCACGTTCACAGTCAAGTTCCCTTACAACATGGACGTCTGCTATCTGGCGTATCACTACCCTTACACATACTCCCAGCTACTGGTGAGTTGTGTGCGTTTGTCTCAGTGTTTAGAGGGAGTTCCAGTAATAGGGATGCTTTAAGAAGAACGGGAGGGAGATAGTAAAATCAAATCATATCCTGTTTTCACGGAACCCCGTGGAATAATCAATACGTTGTATACCACACAAATTGTTTGGATTTATTAGACTTGTGGATCATCTGAATTTTAATGTGTGTTTCTGTATGGTTTGTAGTTTGTATGTTGTTTATTTTATATTCGTATATTTTTTTGAAAACAATTGCAAACTATTGGGTACTGAAGTAGACATCCCAACAACCTTTAACTATTGGATTCCACTAAAGTAGACATCCCATCAATATGGACCTACTGTCGTCAATTTTTGCAATAAAAAAGAACACAGTTCTGTGAGCTAGTCACAGAATGTGCAAGTGTCTAAAATTGTATTTTGTACCGTAATTGACGTTACCGTACTGAGATAGTTAATGTTTAAAGATGTCACAATAAGCATACAATAAGTTGTCCTATGAGTTTGGTTATGAAGTCCGAATGTTTGACAGAAATCAGTAATGTACATCACCGCAATCTGTCCGTGGCTTACTTCAAGTATGTCCATTTTGACTTAAAAACAGGTGACATTTATATCATGGGAATGGAATGTGTAGATTTATCAGTAGTCAAAGGCAAAACTATCCACTTTCAAATCATTGCATCTTGCCATTGTGGGTCCAATACAATCTGCATACCGATTGTTAGGTTTGCCAGTGCTTTGTGTGTTTTGCCACCAAAGTTGTATTTTCCGCAGAGCAAGCTGTGGGGTTGGAGCCAGACGGTGTGTCGTGAGTCTGTCTACTTGCGAGCGGAAAGTCTGTGTCAGACGCTCAACTTCAACGAGACTCCTGTCGTTACCATTACGGCCCCGTCTTCCTACCGTAACCCGATACAGGTGAGGGAGGCACTGCTTTTACCGAACTATTGGCAGTATAGGCATGCACTGTGGATGCGATACGCCCTGGTGTGGATTAACGTCCGCACGAGTGAGTACTACGACTATCCGCAGTACTATCCTGATAATTAGACCAATTCGTATATACCAAGGAAAAATGTGGTTCGGATTCCACTATAAACTGTAGGTCCCTTAGTTGCCATTAGCTGTATGGGCTATTAATTAACAGCTGTGTCTAAGGAATGTCGGCCTTAGTCACTAACAAGACTACTAGATCGCGCCACTCATCCTACACTCATCTTCATTCATACTTGGCTTAAAATACCTACTATGTATGGTCACCATTTCATTGAACAGTATCTAGAGTATGAACACTGGACTATATAACTTGGATGGCTACAATTTGTGTGGCACTTTGTTTGGGTTATGATGCTAAAATAGTTGAGCGACAATTAAGATCATGTTACAACGGCGTTATTACTCTGCTTTTTACAAAAATTCTATGTATTAATTAGACGACTCCTGTTTACCAAAGAGTGTTTCCACACTGGAAAATTTACAACCACGCCACTGACTTAAACATTCAAAAGTGTTCGATTTAAAATTTATTGTACTGTTCAATCACTAAATTTGTAAAAAAAATAATTAATCGAGTTCTAATCATAAAGACTATGTTTATTGCATCGTATTACTTTTTTTTGTCCGTTGAGCTGCCGACTCTACATTTACTATTTTTTTGTTTTTGTTCTCGGACTACCCTTCCTACATGCCATCCTGATTGACACAACCTTAAGCACCCCTTGCTCCCCTGAATGTAATGTTTTCTCTGTCAGGACAGGGAGGTGATATTCCTGACTGCCCGTGTACACCCTGGAGAGTGCAACTCCTCTTGGATCATGGAGGGAGTGCTGCAATACCTACTGAGTGATTACCTCCCCGTGGTCCGGGCTCGGGACCAATATGTGTTCAAGGTAGTGCCCATGCTCAACCCCGAAGGTGTCATCAACGGATGGTAAGTCCAACATTGTTATATACTTCTGTTATACTCCGTTCACAAAATTTAGGCGGTTTGAGGGGAAGCGATTCCATCCCCTCCACTTCACCTTAACTATGAAACGACAGCCGATGATCAGCTGATGTATACATTAAGCTAAAAAAAGTAGATAAAACCCGAGGAAACCTTCTTCTTCAACTGCCTAAAATTTGTGAACAGACTATAGTGTGCGTTGTTGATTGTGTTTCATCTTTATGTCTCTAATGTAAGAGGATGGAATGTGGAGATGTGAAATGTGTACTTAATTTGTATCAAGTAGAGTGTAGATTATTAGAAGCCTAGAACAGAGAAGTAAGGTACTAATAGTACACTTAAGTGGTGCCTGCACTAGTGCTTGTATCTAGGGATAATTTCAACACCGCCCCTCTCCCTCATGTAGTACAACACTCACAGTGGAGGAATACCCAGCCCCTTGTACGATAGGGATTTCTGCACAGTGCTCCCCTGTGCGTGGTACTAGTGCTCTCCACAACATAATAAAGATGAAAGTGCCCTTAATCGAGTTTCCTCTGTACCTTACTTCTGTGTGAGCCTAGACAGTTTCGGCTATCCAAAAGGTAGGATGGAACAAATCTCAAAAAAATTGCTTACCAATTCTAAGTTTAGTAGGTGTGCTTCAGTGCAGCTCTGGTGTAACCTACAAGACTAAACTCCCATCTTCTTTTGCTGTGCACACCATTTCCAATTAGTTGCCTATGGACAATGGGCATTCCTCTGGGACAGTTTGTATACTGTTTTGTTGTGTTGTTTGTCTCTAACTGACCTTTAGTGTATAGACTTTCTGAAATTACTTGTGCTTTATAGCAATTGAAAATAACTTCTTGATCAGCACTGTACGTGTTATTAAATTTACATAAAGTAAATAAAAGAAACGTCTTATAACACTTAAAACATATATTTACGCTTATACTTCTACTCACAAGACGGGAAATATACAAAAAAGATGGTAAGTGTCAGACCCAATAGGCGAATGATTCGGCGGAATGATTCGCCTATTGGGTCTGACGATGATTGGAGTGTCCAATCGAAATCGATCACCACTTACCATCTTTTTTGTATATTTACCGTCTTGTAACAGTATAAGCGTAAATATATGTTTTAAGTGTTATAAGACGTTTCTTTTATTTATTTTCTGCAATTGAAAATGTCCTGACAAATTTAGCCCTCGCCTTTTTGAAGTTTGTGAGTAAGTGTACAAACGCAACAGTGAAATAAATCATGTTTTTTTAACTTAAAATAAACCTAAACATGTGTGTTAAATTTCCTTACATAAGAGTGTTTTTTTTTATTTCAAATCTCTTCACTCTTTCATATTCTTATGTTAGTTTCAATTTCTGTTTCTAGCTAATAAAAACTATCAACTTTACCACTACCAAATATCACCACTTGGTTCCACAAATCTTAACTCAGGCAAATCAAACAAAATGTGTAAAAAATCATTTTGATTTTGCATTTTGTACATAAATAATTCTAGCCTTAAATATCAGTTACGAGGAAGTCACATAAATAAAAGTCTTTTATCTCTAATGCCACTGGAATCGCCGATCATAGTTGAGCGGACTTCTTCAACACTGGTTTCTCTAGCATTATGTTCCGAGCCCACGTCCAGGGGATGTCGGCGGGGTCGGGGGAGACGCGATGTTGGGACGACCGTGATCGCACTGGCTCAGTCGTTGTGTCCGCTTCGACAATATCATTGTTGTGGGTCGCCTCTGCTGGTTCGTTGTCATTATCGTTGTCGACCTCGACCTCACCATTATCCTCTGACTCCTGGGTGTCTACGTTGGGCTCGGCACTGGTGGGATTGAAGGTGGGGGAAGGTGTTGAACTGGTGGTGGGGGGTGGAGGGGAAGGTGTGGAGCTCACAGCCGCTGGTGACGTCACTTTGATCCGGTTCCTGTGGAAAAATTTGGAGTGTTAGTTGTGACTTTAATTTGTATGGGTTTTCAAATTATTTGAATCAGCGATTTCACTTACTAACATTATTGATGGGTTATTAAATAACCTCTGAGTCATAGACTCACACACACACACAGTCTTACTCACAGTGTGTCAATCGATCACTTGGGGAATTGAAATTGCTGAAAGGTTGACGACTTATGGGCACGGAATGTTACAGAAAAAATTGATTCATCATCGATATGTGAACCAACTTAACTAATCACGTTTAGTGACTAATTAGGTGCTAGGCAGTAATAAGTCCTAATTCTTGTATTGTAAAGAATACATACTACTTGTGGTAACATAGAGACTACGGAGTAAATATTTCATCCTACGTTTTTTAATACTGTAGCCAGAAGAAAATAGCTTGATTGTACCATTGACAGAGGGTGCTGCCATAAATACTGTTAACTTTCATACAGGTCTTATTTTAAATTTCAATACAATGTCAAACAGTACATTTTATAAGCTATAGTCTGTTCACAAAATTTAGGCAGCTTAAGTAAAAGTTCCCCCCACTACTTTTTTTGCTTATTATATGTGTTGCAGCTGATTGACGTTTTGGAGGGGATAGATTTGTTCCCCTTAAGCCGCCTAAATTTTGTGAACAGACTATAGCTCATTCAACTATGTTCTCTTCTAGTAAAAAGGTAGCTACAGTTTGAACACAATAATTGAAATGTTTTGTTTAACATCCTAAACTATTGATGCTACAGTACTACTATTGATTACCGACTCAAATTCTACTTTACCAAAACTACTTTTATGTATATACATAAGCTGTGATTATTGTGGTTTAAAATGCATAATGTTTAGTTTTATACAACACCAGTTACAACTCTCAACCCAGTTTCACGTTGACCTTATTTACATAGCTACTTTCCTAAGGTTTTGTCCTGCAATTCGCTCTCTTACACTTCCAGGATTTTTTTATTACCACTACCCATTATTGACTCGTAAATTCAATTTATGTGATTCTGTTCTACTATAGTAGAAATAAAGACATATGTTTATGAAATAATTGTATCTCAGTATAGATTGTAAACTAATGCTATTATTCAGTTATTCTTTTTGTAAATATTTTTTTTTCTGCTCTTCATGTGTTGTTGTGAATTTATAATGTTTTGATTAGAAATGTAGACCTACACAGGGTCAATTTTATTAAGAGTCTCTAGATTAGATGCCTAGTAAAGGTCAATTGAAGAAAACAGTTTGAAATTTCATGGCGGACAAATGGACCTATTTTTGTCTGGTCAGAGGCAGTTAATCCAGTGGGTGATAGTAAAGTAAGGGTATTAGTATTATTTTCCTCAGTGGTTAGTGTCACGGACTTTAAGGCAAGCAGGACGAGTTCAATCCATTGCATATCCGCAAAAATTTAGGGGTTTTGACAGCTTTTCCTAAAAAAGCGTTTTAGAGTTTTGACACGAATCAGTAATTAACCTCAACCCACTCTGCCGGTGATTCAATTCAACTACGTCCTAGATTCTAAAACTACCTTCATCTACAACATTTGGATGGAATTTCTACCACTCCAATAGTCAAAGATTGATCCTTTAAATTTCAGTATCTTACATATTTTACAAACTTTTGTATTGCTAGCAGAGTTACGGGGTGTAACAAAGGTTAGGTTAGGTTAGTTTAGGTGAAGCGTGCGAGAAGCTTAAGAAGCTCACCTCTTACCCCTGAGCAGGTGAGACGGGGATCGAGCCGTAGTTGTAGTAGTAACACCGCGTTTGCTCGCAGATAAAGTCCCTGATCTTGGTACAGTCGTCTTTGTCCCAGTACATGTCCGGCGAGCGTAGCAGTACGCAGCCGTCCGATGTGTCGTTGTCCTTTCTGAAAACGGAAATGAAAAAATATATAGAATCGGAAGCAGTCATAGTATAATTTGTATGAGTTACCAGTGTTTTGTGCAAAATAAAATAAATGAACACAGTGCAGGCAAAGAATTAAGTGTTAAAATGTAAGAAATAAAAATTAAGATAGTTTTTTTTTATATTCCTTTTAAACAAAAACAACGTTACAGAAAACAAATTACGCTCTATGAAATATTATATTATTAATTCTCTATGATGAAACAAAGAGTTGATCATTGTGTGTGTGAGTTAAAAATAGGGTCTGTTTAGGGATTTGCGCTAAGCTCTTGAGTGCTTTTTTATCAGCGTTGTTTATGATTTGTGGACACAAGTGAAATCTCACTTCCTCATTGTTGTAACGCATGCCGTTGGTGTGATTTCATTGTAACAAACTACAAAACGCATGACCTAAATAATTTTTGCTCGTTTTAACCAACACAGGTAAGTTGCATTTAGTCAAAACATGACCTAACCACAACATCCAAAATAAAAGTTTCCATCAGAATTAAAGCTGTTTAACATAGTCCCTGCATTGTTTTGTAAAAAATATATATTTTTTTAGGTTTGGGGAGACAGGTTAAAACTAAAATGATCGGTAGTTTTTGGTTTTTATGAATTGTTTATAATCTAGGTGGTTTAGTAAAAAATATGTTACACACAATAATCATCTGCCTAAAATTTGAAAGGATGGGCCTCTTTATTATCCATAAAAGAGTGTTCTAAGATCCAGAAACTACATATATTTCCTCATGAGACAATGACATGACTGACTGACGTGCACATCCTAGAAACCCTATAGAAGGCTGTGGGATTATGAAATAAATTGGGGTTTGCAAGCTTTTCTGCCTAATTTTCTTCACAATTTCTTATTTCAAACATTATTGTACGTTACCTGGGCTCCACGGCGCTGAGTTGTCGAGCCATCGGAACCTCATATTCATCATCTTCTGAGTGTCTCATGTAGTCGAATGTCGCGTTGAACGGTAATCCCGTGGACATCCATATCATCATGTCTGTACCTAAACGGTTACCCGACGTCCAAAAGTCGTACTTGTTGTAACCTGAAAATGGTTACATTATTTATCTGTTTGTAGTTGGTTTGGTTTAAAACCAAAATTTTGAATGCTCTTTTATTATGGTTTTTAAATTATGTAATACATGTTGGATTAGAATAATTAACGTTGCTTTTGCTTAATAGGTGGTCTGTACATAAGGTCAACAAAAATTATGATAACTGATTAATGTGTTAAGAATTTTTCATGTGGTTAGGTGTGTAAACTGATTGGTAACTAATTAAATAAATAAATAATAAGTTACTAAAAATCCTCGCACAGTTTAAATAGTATTTTTATTTTATTCCTTTGGTTCCTTTATTTTACAAATACTTTTGAAAATACTAAAATAGTAGACTTTTTTGGCTTCAGCTTTACATCCAGAGAAGTTTCACGGGGAGAAAAATGATTTTACCATTGACAGTCACACAAATTTTTAACCAGAATAATATTTTGATTATTATTCCATCTTACCATAACTAATTGAAAAAGGCATACTTTCTTTAGATCAATTAAACATTTTTTTACATATTGAGCCGTAAGTACCAGATTAAATTGAGTAGTACCAATTACAAGTACTGGTAAGAAAATTGGGAAAGGGTACATTTTGATTCTTTTCTTTAGTTACAATGAAAGAACAAGTTGAAGGCAATTTTTGCGTCATGCACAATAATATTAATAATAGAGTGACAAACTCAAATAGATCTCCTTATATTGTTGCAAAAAAAGCAACCACCTAGGAAAAAAACCAAAATATTTTACACGTAGACCAATGTTACATCCGCCAAAAATAAGGCTAGGTACTAAAGTACCTAAACTTGTAGCTCTCCCCGCTGTTAGATGAAAAATATGAAAAGTTGAAACCTTTTGATCATGGTGTAAAGAAACAGCCATTCTATGATCATTTATTACTGAATACTGAACAATTTATAAAATCCAAGATATCAATTGATTGAATAAAAGCACTTAGTTTGAATTAATATCCTATTTTATTGTTTTGATTCTGCGGCAAAAACAATTGTTATTCGAGAAGCAATCAAACCAATGTACACACTGTGGTTTAATTTTTATTGCTATACAGACATACCAATATTTTATTCCACTTGGCCCCACTTTTAGAACTTTATGGGACAAAGAAGCCTTAATTCAAATATGATATTGGCAATTCACCTATTACTGTGATACGCCTTTCATTTTTATTTAGTCGCTTTCATAGTTTTGCATGAAGAAAAGATGCGCAAACACTTACAGTAGTTAATAAAATCGTAAGGATTGTTATTCAGTTCTTTGATAAACTGACACATAAAACATAAGAAGTTGTAACTTATGATACACAATAGTAATATGTAATAGGTTGTGTGTATTCGTCATAAATAAACTAACCATAAAATAACCAAACCATGTTATGATTTGCAATGTTAATTTAAAACACTGTTCCGTTACAATGCGTTTTATCATTCACTGTTGAAACTAGGTGGTGTTTTTATTGTTGATGACTTTATTTAGACTTAACACCAACAAGACCGGAAACCTCATGTGGCTGGTAGAATATTAAGTCCTCGGGGAAACCCTGCTAGGAGTTCATATCATTCAGTTGAATGACCTCTCGTTGAGCTTAGATATTTATTTTTCAATCCTGAAAATGAGTTTGAAATCTTTAGGATCTGGTTCTGGATATGATTGTCTGTGTAATTTTGTCCAAGCAACTAAGTATTATTGTAGTCTAATATAGATTGAGTTTTATTCAAACATGGCAATTTTTCAAACTCACAGTACTCAGTAGAAGTTTAAAATGTAGCCAATTTTTTTTTTAATTGTTGATCTTTTTGGTGGTGTTTGTTTTCACAATGTGAGAGCTGTCCTAATGTAGTTTTTTCATCCCATTTTGGAAGACAAACTCAAACTTAAAAAAAATGTACCTCATCTCCTAAACAACCTTCAACAATCTTAAAGATGTTCAGAGAGGTTTTCTGAAACTGCTGCTCATAAAGGTGAATAAAAAGTATTACCAGAACAAATTTTTATAAAAGTTATCTATAAAAAAAAGACACTGTTAATTGAGAAAAAAATAGATTTACCCAAGGAAAAAAGTATGAATTTAACTATTTATGTTTTTAAAAAACTTGTTTATAAAATAACACTGGAAATACAAACACTTGTACTCGTAAACTGATGGTGACGCCATCAATTATTGAAATGTTGTGATAACTTTCACAGAGTATACCAGGGTAACTTTTACCACTACACCAAGTAAAAATATCTCTTATGTAAAGAAAGAGTTCTATAGATTCTTGAATTATGGAAATTGCAGCAGATGAATGAGAACAGAGGTATAGTTTGGAAGCTGATCAACTCACTGTGCTTCGTACAGTTTTGGATCTTGTCAGTTCATTGAAAACGTAAAGTAAGGCAGATCTAACCGCTTCTTAGGCAGTAGATCAGCCAAGCCATTGGGCGACACGATGAAGTGACAGATCTCCAAGTCATGGAGAGCTTGGTTGATGTTCTCATATAGAGCTTGCCTCACAGAGTCTGCGATTACCGTCAGATAATTCTCACACGCCCAGTTGACTAAATCTTGGTAAAACATCTCCCGCATATCCATCAGCGACATCTGAACCGTGTAGTTGTTGGCAATTTTAATGTTGAGATCAGACAGTTCGAAGGTACAATCCTCGCCCATCGTCAGGTGTAAGTCCATTTTAATCAGGTTTTCTTTAATGACCACATTCAAACTGCCGGACTGCACAGTTTCATTCATGGCGATGCTGTAGTCGTTGTAAAAGTAGGACATTGTGTTCATCTTCATTAATGCAACTAACTTCAGGCCGTCATCAGAAGTGCGGATGAGAAAAGCGTCGCTTTCACGTTCCAAAGTGTCGAGTCCACGGAATCCTCCGTTTTTCGCCTCTATCATTCCTCCCGGTCGAGACACACCCTGTTTGAAGGTTATGTCCAGGTCGGGAATCGGGATGACTTCATCGTGGTGACTTGAGACGATTTGCTTGGTTCGTTCCAAAATCAGGTCGGTTATGTCGTTAATCTCTTCGGTGTAGGTTAGCGGCAATGGGCTCGATAGTGCAGCGGTAAAAGATGCAGAGAGAAAGATCCAAAACATTTTTTTTTTGTTCCAATTGACTCTGAAAATAAGGGTAAATCGTGACAGTTACTAAATTTTGAGAAAAGCAGGTTTAAGTAAGTTTAAGAAAACTTACATTTATTTTTTTCAATAAGTTTTTACAAAAAATTTTATTTTCTCTGTACGGAACTAAAATTTGAACTTTTTACGTTTTAAGCACAGTGTGTTTAGACTAATACTGCATTAATTCTCAATATAGTTTTATTAGTAAAATTTTACACCCTAAAAAACTTCAGCCAATAAAAAAATTGAATATACAAATTTAAAATTAAAGTCATGAAAAAAAGCTATCAATAGTGTATTTAATTTTACACTTCACAAATGTTAGGTAATGCTATTCTATCACTATTGTTCTTTGTAAAATGAATTACAACGTGTAAAATGTAGTTTAGCAAACATATCATTGACCTAGGTAGCTATACAATAGTAGTTTACTCACAATGTTTTTCAATAGCTTTTCCTTTCATAACAATTCCAGCTGCCAAGCAGCAATTAAATCAGTAAATATCAATACCCAGAACTAGTGAGTCCCCAGTAGACTATGAGCTATCAAGAGTGATATCAATCTCTAATGTGATTCTAGTGATATGTTTCAGCTAGCTAGGAGTATTTGTTCAATCAAAGTTTTAGTTTCTACTCACAATGTCTGGGTTTATCAATCTCCTTTTGTGTTGTGCTCATTTGTTTCGAAGAGATAACAAATAATTCTACTATGTGAAGTGCACAAAATAGTTAAGTCATCACTCAAATAGTTTTATAAACATTATGTGGTTAGAACAGGAACCAAGTGTTGATTGTAATGAACAGTGGGTTTGTGAATCTGTTATTTATTGGTATTTTATCAAATACGATTTGTTTAGTTGACAAGAATTAAAAAAAAATTGGTTTTTTGGTTTATTTTATGCTATACGAAATATTGTCTAGCTAGTCATAAGTTTCATAATATTCACGATTTTAAGTATAATTAAGTATCATTACATTTGATAAAGTCTCTTTAAGTATTTCAATATGTGAATATTCACTTAAATGTTCCAATACAAAAAAATTACTACTCAATTGAAACACTTTTCAAGATTTGTTTGCTAAGTTAATTTAAGCTTTAATTTGTTTCTTACTTTTGTAATAATCAATATGAGTCACAATACTAATTTATCGTGTCAAATGATTAGGTTGATCAACATTATAGTTCTTTTGAAAATCGTTGAGACAGGAGTTCCCTTGCAGTTAGTTCCTTTCCGTGAATCCGCCCATGCAGTCAGACTGGTACCGAACACACCCGATCTGAATGAGTTTGTAGACCGAACGTTGGAATCCATCAAAAGATTCACTGTTGAAAACACAAACCCACTCACAGTCAACAGTGTTTACAAATACTTCTTGCACCAAACGCCCCAAAAAAGTGTCCCAGTGGTGTTCAAAACGAGCGAAGGTGTTGTACGGGACCTAACTGATATGCGGAGATTGGGAAATGCTTATATTTACAACAACGAAGTAGACAGTATACAATTGGTGGCAAAGTTGTTGTTGAACCCGTTAACCATCGAGTACGACCGATACAATGTCACAGGCGAGTTAAAAGAATCTGGAAGTGTAACAGGAAGGGTGAACTCAAGCGAGGTCGATGTTTGGATCACGTTGAGGGTAAGACAGAACAATTCACGTCCGTTGGTGTGTGTTTGTGACGGAAAGGTTGACAGGTTGTCCTTGACTCCAGGGGATGTTAGGTTCGATCTCACCGATGAGCACCAAGAAATACATTCTGAGATATTGAACGTTCTACTTAGTCACTTGAACAGCGATGTTTTCCCACAGATATCCAAGCTTCTCTCGTCTTCGTTGGAGACTGTGGTCGGCCGAGATGAACAGCTGTGTTATTCACTGGTCTTGTGTAACTCTTGTGAATTTTACGCTGCAGATTTCTGAATAAAGTTGACAAGAACTTGTTCGGAAGACTAGTAAACTAAAAATGTATTCATTAGTGCTATGTGTGTTAGATTCGATAAATATTTGAACATTGAATACCTAGCATGTATATAACGTAAGAGGTTTTTATTGATATTGTATTATAACTTATTAATATTGTATAGATCTGTTATTATTGTTGACATGCTATACCTAATCATAATGACTTCAATGATAACAAACAGTATGTTTTCTTTAAGTGCTTTTGTACTACTATTCGTACACACAATGTATATTTGTTATTAGTGTCAGTAGGTTTTGTAAATATATAATGTTGACATGTGTAAAATATTATTGTTAATACTGATTAGAGTAAACATGATTGCAATAAACTTTGTATCATTTAGCTTTGTGAAGTCTAAAACAACTTTAAGTGTCTTGCAGAAATGTTTTGTTAACCACCATTACCATTCTTACAAACCCAAAACTACTTGTTAAACCACTATCAACTTGTTTATTTAGTCTTGTTGAACCTTTTGATAATAGTTTGGTTGGTGTTCAAACTAACAGTTAGTATCATATGATACCAAAATACTAACCTTAACCTTTTAGTTAGGTAATGATACTGTCAAATCAAATCTAATCAAAAGGATATGCTAGTGTAAAATCCTATTGGTTTTTCCACCAATTTGAACAATAATACAAATAGAAAGTGTTAAACTGAGGTGTCCATAAAATATTATAGTTCTGTATTTAGTTGGGTTTAGCTGGCTGTCTGGGTAGTTGGTGGGTAATCAGTAGGTCTCAAGTGTGATCCGGAAAAAATGTCAATAGCTTTTGGTTCGAAACTACAGTAAACCCTGCTGGAATTAATTAAATGATTCTGGCTGAAGAAACATCTGGTCTTAGTAACAATTAGCAACACGAAATATCTCACTTCAATACACACTCACCCTCCGGTCATATTTGGGTTCAAATACTCTCAGCAGCGTCCACAGTTCAATCGGTAGCAAAACTAACAACTATATAAAAAATCCAAGAAAATAATTAAGACGATTTGAAAAGCTCATTTAAATAATCTGTATGAACACAGGAAAGTAAGGTACTTATAGGACAACCGTGCGCTTTCAGCTTCGGTATGTTGTGCCGGAAATATACTTGTGACGAGTAAGGAAGAGTCTAAACGGCGAGCATTGTGTACGTCTGTCATACAGGGCACAGGGTCTTCCTCCACTGTGAGCATTGTAGTACATGGTGGTGAGGGAGCGCTGATGGACTTTGTCCTAGACACAAGCAAAGCTAGACACTACTTAAGTGTACCATGGAGTGTATCCTCTGTTCCTTACTTCTCTATGGTATGAGTAAAAAATAGCTCCACAATTCACTTAGATGCAATGTCTACCTCAATATCCACAACACTAGGTCTATTATGTCTATTGCCGCAACAAACATTCATCACTGACCTGCGTTTATCAGGTATTGCATGATCGCGTCTGCCTTCTCTTTAGTCTCGAAGCTGGCCAACTGCAGGCCGATGGACCGGCAGTACTGGTACGCCAGGAAGTAGTTGAGTTCAGGAGAGTACGGGTTCATACGGCTGATGAAGTACTGCGTGCCGTCCAGCTGTATCGTGGTTATCCTCTGTCCTGTAAAGAAAGATTAGTGATTATTTTGATTTTCCTAACTGAAGATGAAGGTTGAAAAATTAAAGAACATTTTGCTCTAGTACACTAAGCAAATACTTGCTCAATCGAACACAGTAGCTTGGTGTTTAGGTTAAATACTACAACTAACTTGCCTGAGGCAGAGCTGGTCCTGGGAACGTGTGAAAGAAAAAACCCATGCTTCAGAGGCCCTCGTAAAAATTGTAAAAGTCAGTGAATTTTACGTCAGTTGTGGAAAAAAGGGGAGAGTATAAATACCTACATTATACTTTGACGAATTATAGCTGTATTTGATTGCCACATAATTGGTCACTTTACATGCCTTTGTTTGGGTATAATTAAACCAATTTGAATGTGGAGAAGAGATGCCAAGGTATCGTTAGTTCCAGTAGACTCATCCTGCTCGCTCACTACACCGCTTGAAGATGAGTTCAATGCCTCGCTCATTACGATTCATTAGCAAGCCTTTCTACTTTTCTTTTCTTTTTATGCTCGCTACAGTAGATACTCAATTCGGCCGCAAATCAGTTAATATTTGTGGTTTATATTTGATTTTTTTATATGTCCCTTGTAAATGTAAAAGATTTAAGTAATTTATGAGAATGAGATGGCACATATCCTGATGTTTGTTGTACCTATACGTTGAATATTTTCAGTCAGTTAGCTTTCCACCCTACAAATAACATTCATTTAAGGTATAGTAGTTACATTGGTGTTTAGTTTTTGTTTGTTTGTGGAAAATTAGTTTTGTAATTGGGTTTTTGCTGCAGTTATAACCTGGCCCATAGGTTAACAAATAAATTGTGAAAATCATTGGTAAACATAATTAAAAGGTTGACAAAATTTTATTATCAAATATCTATCTGACAATTTTTTTACTTCTACGTGTTAAATAATGAATATATGTTCCCCAACCTTTTGAAATAAGTTACCATTGTAACCCACTTGAAAAAGTTTATAGTTTGAGAATAGATACATCTAAATGATTAAAGTATTTTATTGTATTTTTATGGTAAATATAAAATAAAAATGGTCCCAGGATTGACTCCTGGGGCACCCCAAAAGTTACTAGTCTACTTTTTAGAGGGATCGGGTATATATTTCAAAGTTTGTTTGAAGCCGAACACAATTTTAAATGTAGTTTCATACTATATCAGAGTTTTGTAGACGGTTGTTACGACCTGGTTCCTGTCTGTGTTACAATGCTAGGTTGTTCAGGGAGGGGACAAAGGACATTATCTCCAGTGTGAACAAACAAGTGTGCAGGAAGAGATAATCTCAATGGAGCTTGTAAACCATCCATTCACACCTACACCATATGCTTGGTAGAGCTAGTAGTAATTTGACTCGGTGGTAGACTGCTTCAAAAACTAGTGTAAAATATGGTTCTCCGGATGCTTCAAATGTTTGGCTATGGTAGACGTTCCATTCCTACGGTCTGCTGGTCTAGTGCTAGAGCGCGAGACTTCTGTCCCCGAGGTCAGTAAGGTCCCGAGTTCAAATTCCACCCATCACCAATGGATTTTATCTAAGTGATAATGCAACGACCCTCTAGGAGTAGTCTGAAGTAATGTGTAAAGCAGTTCTTCTGCGGGAATACCCCGCCGCATTAAACCTGCAGACTAAGCGAATTTCAATTCGTCTTAATGGATTTTTACTAAAATATTTCCATAAACAAGACATATTTATCCCCCATTTCATCAACATTAGATTTAACCAGTACCTAGGTTTTCTAATGTGCCACGGGGACGATAAAAATGTTTTTTTCTTAATGTTAATAGTAGGTAACTTATGGAAAGAAATTAATAAATTTGTCAAATTTGTTCAACATGCATCCTTAATAAACAAGCAAACTACAATAGGTTTTTTTTAATTTTTTCCGTAACCAAGTGCAATTACCAAAATAAGATGGGGATGAATAATAAATTAATGAGGATGAGTCTTGTGAGGCTCTTCAACATTCTATGAACTGCTGTTTCTTTCACCAGGATAATGTATGTCAACGTAAAGTCCAAGTCAAAAATGTGGTTCTCAAAAACTCCACTCTTCACTTCAAAGGGATTTTATAGAAATAATATTAGTATTGTGTATCCGTATGGTAGAATCTCCAGAATCTCAGTTGCCAATCACTGCAAATGCATTTCCTTTCCGAATGTTCCGAAGGCGGTTCGACGACCTTTGACCCTGAGTCTGTGGATTGCGTAGAAAACAAAAGTGAAGAACCCAAGAGTCAAGAGTCAGGTGGGTTATAGCCGGTTCCCGCCTGCACGCTTCAGTTGGCGCACTAAATGATTTGTTAGCGCGAGCGGAGCCGGCCGTACGCCAGGCACACACACTCGCGCACGCACTACGCAGCCACCTTGAACTTGAGGGCGCATCGGCGCATCACGCACCTCTGGGCCTCTACTCGAGTTACCGCGTCGCGCCGCTCATCTGGTATGCGCCGTGTAGAGTTACCAGATGAAACATACGTTGGTCTATGGTGTTTCCTCTACAATCTAAAATGTAAACAATTGGATCTCCGCAATCGAGTACAGTGGATTTGTATGTAATTTATTAATGGAGCGGAATCATTGTTTCGACAAACATAAATTTGATCGGCTACTTTGAAGTAAAGCTACATTAGAATACAAAAAACTCGGGAGTTTAACATTGAGAAAAAGTCAATATAGATAATAACCCGTGTTTCTTATTCAATTTAATCGCTTTGGTTGATTCCAGGAGTGTATTAGTAATAGCGACATTCGCCAATCATCTATGGGTTTTATCTATGTGATAATGCCGCAACCTCTAGACTAGCCTGAAGTAATAAAACAGTTCCGGGCTAGAACTAGCGTCCTAGGATGTGAAGGTGGGACATAAAAATAGTATAGAACGTCATTATTGTTTCAACAAACCTGAATTTGGTCATCGGCTATCCTGAAGTAAAGCTAATAAGATTACAAAAAAACTCGAACATAAGGGGGTGGTTTTACATTGTTGAGAAACACTCAATATAGATAACAACCCATCTTTCTCATGTAATCTAAAAACGCTTTAGATTCCAGGGGTATCAGTGACGTATCCAGGGGGATTTGGGGTTGAAACCCCCCTTAACCTTAAAACGTAATTTTTTACAAATAGCATTTATGTTATACAATTAGAAAATCTCTTTTATATATCTCTAAACGCAGGTTTACAAGTCTAATTTACACTAATTTTCTGGGGGTGGGTCCCCTGACTCCTCCCCCATCCCCCTTTGTTAGTCTGGACAGAGCTTCGCCTAGAACCTATATTTTATATATATATATATATATACCTATATATACTTATACCTATGTATATATATGTATATATATTATATATTATATAGGTATATATATATTATATACTTATACCTATATATTATATACCTAGGCATTATAATGCTTGACTTAGTGCTGATTTAGGGCATGCTAAGTTGTTTTACCAACCCAACGGCTTCGCCTAGTTCTTCTCCTAATCAGTTTACCGATGCTTCACCTACTAGTAGTGCTTACACAAACTATTCCAGATTTCGGTTTGGCAACCATCGTTTATATCTGCCGTTGGTTCGCCACAGCCTTGTGCTGCTAGTGTAGTCTAGACGGCACGTGCCGTAGATGGTAAAGTACAGTACGGTACAGGACAGACACGTCTCCTGCCGTTGACCCTTTCTTCCTTTTCCTTCCTTCCTTCCCGCTTCCTTCCACGTCTACATCCTCGTCGTACGTCCAAGATACGAGACTAGACTAAGAACTGATGACGATCTTGTATGATTTAATTATAAAATTTGTGTCTAAGAAATCAACGTTTATTTACCTTGAGGCGAATTGTATTCCAAACATAATTAGTTCAGGTATCTGTGGGTGAAGACGGGATTTTGGTTCTGGAATGAGCTTGTGATTTTGGAGTTTCTACAACAATATCTTTTCTCCTAGAGTAATGAGAACTCAGAACTAAAGTGATGACCCTAATTCAGATTCTGTAAGTCTTGTTCTTATGATTTCTTGATTTAGGCCTATGGTCCTACGTCGTGTCTTAATAAAACCCATCTTTCGTCGTTATCAGATACCGGAAGGCAATTTATTTTTGAACCTTGATCTCTAGGGCATGTATCTAAGTGAAACGATATAATTATTAGACCATCCGTCTATTACCATTATGAGATAATTTATACAGAGCATATTTCCTAGCCCAACTGTTTTAATTAAAATCTCTTGCAATTATGATCTACAAATTACACTTCTATGCATTATGTTGTAATATGTAATGTCAGGTTAACAGTCAATCTAAATGGTGGGCATCCAGTGCGGACTTTGCGAAACATTTTTAGCTTATACTTTTACATAATCATAATAATATTTTTTGTTTGTTTTTACGTTGAACATTATCTAATAGTTTTGGCTAGTTTCACTTGTTGTTCGTCAACACTTGCAAAGCTATGCTAAACAACTGCTTCTCTAACGAAAGCGAAACCAAAAGTTGAGCAATGCAAACACCATGAATACAGAGAATAGGCCTGCGAAACAAATACTGCTTTTTAGGAGCCACTTGAATCATTCATGTAGGGAAAGTGTTGTCGAAATGCGTTTTAGTTTAGTCTTCTTCCGCATTCTGACATAAATATTTTGGCCTAGTTAAGGGCTTGTCTGATATTGTGGGTGAGATGTGGCCCTTCAATCCGGAGGATCCTGGGTTCAAATTCCGCCAACCACGAGTGACTTTTAGCTATGTTATAATGCCACGATCCATCTTAATATGTCGGTCGACCTAGGAAGTAAAAAATAATAAAAAACACAACATGAAACAAACAGTTTCTTGGTCGAGTATAACTGTTTCTGGGGTCCCTGAACAAAAAGCCACACAATAATTTAAATTTTTCATTACATTAATTGACCTACTTTTAACGTCTTAGCGTCGACCTGTATGTGGATAATTCACTATGAGATCAAATGCAGTATCATGCGCGAAACAATGTAATAAAACTAAGATTTTCATCGAATAAGTTTGTAAAAATATTTAGTTAGTTTTGAGTTAGACAAACGAATAGAAAAACTGATTGAAACCCTTGTTTCTTTTTAATGTTTTAGCTATTTAATCTTATAATTTATATAACAAATCTTGACTAGACGGTAGTGGGAAGGGTGTCGTGGGCTCACATCCTGGTGCCGTATTTTCTGCACTATAGTCTGTATGGTGGAACCTGTCTCCTGACCATGGGGACTATCCAATGACTCGGACTAGTCGTAGTTATAGACTCAGTAGACAGGTTCCTTCATACAGTTTAACATGTTCATTTCTCTTCTACAGTCAAGTGTGATGAATTACACTCTTTTCCTCGTACAGAAAAAAAAAACACTTTCGGCAGTTGGCACGGCATGTGATGACGTAAGAGGCAATTGTAGCTAGTAAGCAGGCGTGTAACGACACCATGTAGCTGTATGAGACGGCGCCGCGGCTTTATGTAAATACCTGGTGTAACTGTGGCTAACACGGCTATTATGCGACGGTCTACTCCATTGCGACGACAGTAGGTCGATTGTGTGGCGATTAACTGGTTCTTGTACAGAAGATTGGTTTTGAGCATTTTGAATTGACTTGTTAGCCTGGTAAATTTATCGTGGAAAGAGGTTAAACAGGTCTCGCTTTTTCTGTTGCACATTCAAAGTTAGTTGTCATGTTTTAATCCGAACACAAATTAATAAGTTTTTAGATAATTTATGTATGGCTTCAATTAAATATGTAAGTCTTCTAATCAAATGATGAGTAATGAGCAGTTAAAATGGGTTCGTTTCTAAATACAATTTTGAAAATGCGCCCTTTGTTTTTGTTTGAACTAATTAGACATTCTTTTACAAATTTCATGAATTCCTATTCTAAAAACTCTTATACTCTAAAAGTAAACTGTTCATTATTAGAAATCTTACGTCTATAGTGTTAAGTATGGAATTTTCTTCATGAAATTGTATTCAAACTCCAAATATTATTAAGTTATTAATATATAGATGACATTAAAAAACGTTAAAACGTGATGAGAGTATTTTCGACCCATATCGTTCTTCACGCAGTTTGGAAAATTAAAAAAAAATTGTTATCCGTAATTATTCTTGTGTTAATTAAATAAGTAATAGCGGTAATAACTATGAACACATTTTAAGGGTTGTGATAATTTCCGACCAATTTCGTTCATAGTGCAATTTTGGAAAATAAAAGTCTTTGTTACTCAACCAGCGAGTCCTATGTTTTGTGTCAGAGTTAGTTGGAAAGTTTCAACCAATTTCATCTATCCCAGTTTTCCAATTTCTGTAAACCCCAAACACAAATAAATAAATGATAAGACCAAATTTATGTACGTTTCTTCAGTTTAATATGGAAGTCAATTAATCAAATTGTATTTATACTTTTAAGAAAACTCGTCACGTTAATTCATAAATAGATATTCAAAAGTGAGGGGAGGATTTTCGACTAGGCCTAACTACTTTCTCAACTCAAGTTCGCAAAATGTCGATGCTATCGTTGTAGTTTTGTGTTGAACGAGTTAGACATTTTAAAACGATTTAATCCATTTCAGTTAGTTAAATTTCTGTAAACCTCGAATCCAAATTAATTAACTATCATGCAATTTGTGGCTACCCTAATACTCATCAATTTGTATCCATACTTTTCACAGAGTTCGTCACTTTTAACGAGTAACAATATGGACGCATTCAAAAGTGTTGGGAGAATTTTCAGCCTATTTCGTTCTTAACCCAATTATGAAAAAAATACACCCGTTTCCTGGGCTCAGTGTTTTAAATTTTCGACATATTTCACTATAACTTTTCTGAACTCTTAAAATTTGATAATTACACCAAAATCAATAAACTGGCTGTACTCACCGTAGACCGTGGCGGCGAGGAGGGCGGTGGCGAGCACGCCGAGGGCGAAGACCGAGGTACACGTTGATGCCATCTCCCGGTAGGACTGTGGACTGTGGAGTGTAGAGTGTGGAGTGTACCTTTCCAGACCTCCTCCTCGGCTTTTGTCCCCCCTTCCACCGGCAAAACACTCCATTAGTCACGCAGACTGACTCCTCACACGCACCACGCACACGACACACGACTTAGTGGCTGAAAAAATGTCCAGTTGGTGGTGGATGTACAGGTTATAAGGGATCATCACTGAAAAAAAATGTCTTTTCAGGATATCATTGAAGCAACGTCTTGAGATTGTTTAGTTTTCGTGTAAGCTCGTGGACTTTTATTGATATACACTGTTCCATTGAGATATCTTTTGGGTTTGCTGAAACAACGTGTTTGAGTTTGGTTATTTATTTTAAATCTTGTATCCCGAGGTGTGTGTTTTCAGGGTTAAACACACATATGGGACAATGGCAATATATTTAATTAGAGAATTAGACTCTTAAATCGACGCAAATGACACCAGATGATTTTTTCAACTGAATCGTCTACAAAAAATGTAGATAGGTATTAAGAAGAGAAGCATCTGAGAGCAGCGATAAATAGAATATACGTATTGTCTTTAATAGGTGATTGAATAAAAAATCGCAAATCTGGACGTGTTAAAGCTCCTAAAATATACGTAGTTTTTATTCAGAACGTAGATAAGTTGTTGAAGTAGTAGTATTGACTGCAAAACGTTCATTGTGGATGTGAAACTATTCGCAAGTATGCAATATAACATTCGAATTTAATATTGATTTTCCATATCCTCCAAATATTCCTTCAAATTTTCCAGTAAAGATAACAATCCTGTGGGCAACCAAACTGTTTACGGTCCTCCTAAATATAAAAACAAATTTGAATACTGAAAGTGAACTTTACATCCTAAATCGTAAAAGCTTACCTTGATGCTAGTTTCATTTTAATGCACTGATGTTTTCTCTGTATGATGTTTTACTGTATGCACCTACTCTTCGGTAGTCACACAAGCAATTGTACATTAATTTATCGTTTTGTTGTTACGTTTAGACAAGATAAGGTTCATACAATGCCGCCACACTACTATGTGGTGAAGATAATTGAAGGATTTGTGTTCAATGGACAGCTTTGTTTCGGAGATCAGCTGGTTCTTAAGTCAGAACAATTTTTTAAAACTCAACTGCTGGGCCACTTTTTAAAAACTAAAAAGCTAATGATTTTGCTCAAGATCGAACCGGCGACCTTTTGATTGTTAGGCGAGCACAATACTCACTACGAAACGTATTGTCTTGGGCACAAGGATCTAAAGTCTTCCGTATACATTTTTGAGGAAATCTACGTTTGAAAAAAAAATATCTCTTATAAGGAGACATTGAAATTGCGTGATCAAAGAAGTATGAACTTGACACGTGTGATGCTTCAGTTCCTCAGGTCGTTGAAGTCTCCAGAACACGACGCGATGGTTAGCCTCATTATCAGTTTGTGAGAATCTCAGAGACTTCGTAACAACGTCACGTGGGTTGTCGTGATGTCCCAAGTACAGGTGTTTCAGTTTCCTTCGGGTTCAAGAAGCTTTTAGGTGTGAATTTTCAAAGTGTGAGTTGTCTAAAGAAAGTGGCTTTTGATCACTCTGTTCAAAGTATGGAAATGTTACACAGAATGTACATTTAGGACGTTAAATTAGGCTGAATGTCGGTCTTAGGGGACGCGTCGTTAAAACACCGGTGTTTTCTCCCCGGAGTACAGTATGTATTTTTACATATATCGATGCATTAATTAACAATAACACTGGCCAAAGTTTCGGATGCGTTACAACATTACAAGTTCCCGAGTTTGTTGCAGCCAATTTCCTAATACCGACATTTGAAAATATAAAATTTATTTTAATTGGGTTTTCTATAAAATGTATTATAGTCTGGCAGAAGCTCGAAGGACTCCAGCGGATTAGGCGACCCTTCGCCCACGCACGCGCACTCACCCGTGTGCACCGAGTTCGTCATGTCCAAGTTCGTCACATCTAGGAAAATCAATGAGCCGTACTAATTAGGGTCGACAGTCTACCTGCCCCGCCGGGTATGACATGCCTCACTCGATCCGAACGGGAACAATAGATTCTAGTCACTGATCACAAGAGTCGTTGGTCAAATGTCGTTCTGAATCTTTACCATCCAAAGTTTACTGATGTTAGTTCTTCATGTAGCTGAACATTATACAAACGAACTCGTGCTGTATTAATGATAAATTTGAAGTCATACGGCTACATATCGCACTGACATGATTTATTAAGCCGATTTGTGTTGTTTTCTTGTGTCCGAAAACAGCCTTAGTACATAAGGATTCGTGTTACCAAATTGAAAATTGTCATACAAAACAATATAGCACTTTAGGGGTGAATTCGTTATATTATACTAAGATAACAAGATTATCTTAAAGAAGATTAGTTATATTATTGAGCCAAATTTTTCACTTGTTACAATTAAAAATTACTCAACATATCTAAACAATTCAACAATTTTAATATGTTTTAAAAACAATCTTGAATAGAGTATTCATTTATTGAGTGAATATTGTTTAATGTATTTATGTATGTTATATATTTTTAAAAGTTTTACAAACTCAAGTACATGCAACCCGGTGACCACTGCAACTTGTTAAAATAATGTGTATAAAAAAAAGCTTACCTATGGCTTTAATGAATTTACGAAGATTCAGTTCCCAAGTATGCTAAGCTTAGTATAGTACACTTTAGTGTATAAGCTTAGTATTCATTTAGCCGCATGAATATTGAATAAATGATCTGATTAATATCACAGACCCACTCAAACAATATTTATAGCGGCCTCTTGGCTTTTTTATTCTTTATTACGAATAATTTTTACAACAGTATCACCATCATCATACACATAAATATTAGATGAGAGAATTTTAACACGAAAATTACAATTATAATTATTTAACGGTACGATTATATTTACAATACTTACATACAATCTTAATCATAATTTTATATAAAAAATCATAGAATATATAAACAAGTATTATTTATAACCCAACAAAATCATGATACGTAGTTTTGATGTGATATTTTTGCAAATTATTACTTAAAAATTTGGTTGACTTATTTACTTACTAACTAACCTTATCCCTTGCCGGTTTTCAACCCACACCTTACTGGTGGTAGAATGCCGTTACCGTTACATACGTTCTTACAGTATCAAAATGCAATGCCACGCTTTGCAAAAGAGGAATTTATATCTCTGCAAGATGGTACATAGGCAATACACTCTTATCCAAGGTAGTCCAGAGGGCGATGAGTAATTCCCCACCGTTGCATTCTGCAGAGGTTCACCACACCGAATTCCAAAACAAAGAATGCGTTCCTGACACTTTTGAGATGACCAATCACAATTTGGAAACCCCTCCCCTTAAAATATGCGGAAGAAGGTAAGTTTCAGAACCAAATTTACTTATTCTGTTTTGGGACACGACACCACCAAGTGCAATGGAGTTTTCGGTTAGTTCGAAAGGGAAACCTTGCGTATTGTATAATGGTTACCGGTACACCAAGAGGATTGACAATAAGTGCGGTACTACTACGTATGAGTGCGATCGTCGGAATTGTCGTGTTTCTTTAGTGTTAAGAGACAATACGGTTGTGCGGGAACCGAGTTTGCACAGATGCGTTCCTGACGAAACGAAGATTTTGGTACAATCTGCAATCGACAAGGCCAAAATTAGAGCTCGGCAAGATGTAAAGTGCTCAATTCCCAAGGTAATATATTTTGTATTTAAAAGTATTATTTTTTTAGTAATTGTTCCAACGTAACTGATTTGGTATGGTATTTTTTTATCTACCACAATGAAATTCATGCAATTTGTTTATTTGTCTTTTGTTTGAAAATATTACAGGAATAAGTTATAGGCCAATTTAATTAACTGTGGATAGTTGTCGAACAATAGAAGAAATATACATATTTATCATAGGCTAAATGTAAAAGAAATGTCCTATCATAGAATGGAATCTACCAATAGAAAGTCAAATCGAATTATTCTTGATTTTACAAGTAATATTGCGGTAAAATATTGATTATATATTTAATTTAAATAAACACCCGTACCATTGTATTTTTATAACTCGCCGTAAGCTATCCTAGCAATGTGGCGATTGATGAGAATTATAATAACTTACTGATTGAGGTTAAGTTTAAAACAACTATATCAGGAAACTGACAAATAGCTTCTCCCTTTTAGCCCAACTTTAATGAATAAATTACTCTTTATTTACTAAACATAGAATATCAATTACGGCCAAATGTACCAAAAATCTTCTAAACAAACTTGTTTTCAAAAACATCCCACCAAATCCAATTTGAGGACCAACCGAATCCTTTGCTATACACACTACACAGTGGTGTTAAGAGGATGCCCTCTTTCCCCTATATTAGTTTTAAACGCATTAAAATAAATATACATATAAATTCGAAATGGAAAAAGGTAGCTGGTAAAATGTGTAATTATGTGTAAATGCATTGACAGCTATCTTTTTTGCCAAACTAAAATAAGTGAGTAGGCTATTTGCTAACCCCGTTAAATCCAGTTTACAAAATGTCTGGGAAATCAAGAAAAAACTGTTTAAAAGTGGCTTTATTGAGATAAAAACTTAGAATTCTTTTATACAAATGTAGGAAAATCCCCTTTTATAACCTGTTATAGTCTCTATAATCACAACAATTAGTTAATTGAGTTATTTAATTAAAAAGTGAGGGCTTTCACAATCAGTCGGGTAATTAATATATTTTATAACATTTCTTCCGAACACCTGACCTAACCAGGTCCGTGAAGTAAGCGTACCCATATAAACGTACCCATATAAGCGTATCCACTTTTGTTCATACTAATCGTTAGTTCTCGATGGTTCCCAAATATTTTCGTTAGTTCTCAAAAAACAAACAAGTTATAGCCAATAGTAAATTTGTATGCTAACTTCACACTGCCGGTTTTTAGCGAGCACCTTTTTCGAATGAAAATTGCTTACATTTATATATCAATCGTTAGTGTGTACTC